GCCAGCGGAGGGGTCGCCGGCCGAGGCCCGCGTCGGGGGGCCGCGCCGCGTCTGCAAAGTCTCAGGGAAGCTGCGGGAAAGTTGCCGTGCGGTACGAACGCGGGCTGCGGAGGATCTGCGTTCAACACCCCCGAAGCCGCGGGGCGGTTCCCTTCTCCCCTCTCCTGGCTCGGAGAGGCAGGAGCGAGAGCGAGTTGGCTGCCGCGGAGGAAGACGCGGGCACCAGAGGGACTGAAGGCGTTGAAGACACACTCGGGCTCCAGGCCTGACAAGTCGGCCAAGCGGCAGCGACAGGGTCGTGGAATTGCTTTAAGAGCAGATCCGAAATCTGAAGATGCCAAACCGTGGCCCCCTGGCCGGCCGGCTATCCTCGACGTGCTATTAAAAGAGCTCCTCTTGGGTACCTGTGGGGAAAAGAAAAAAAAAGAAACACGCACGCACACACCCACGCACATAGTCCAGCTTTCACGCCAGTGTTCCGAATGGCAGTAAATGCATAAAATCATCACACACAGGGAGGGATTTCTGCAGCCCCCTCTCCATTCACACAGCCGCACGCGCACGCGCACGCGCGCACACACACAGGTCGGGGCACGCCCTTTGGTCCTCACTCCTTTGGGAATCAGCAGGTCCTGCCGGGAAAGTTGGGTTCTGGGTACTTTCCATAGAAGTCAGAATGGAACTTCCCAGAGGCTCTACCCTGGATCTGTTTGGAGAGTTAATAGCTCGCCTTTCTCTCCAGGCAGATAATTATTAAAAAGAAAAAAGAAAAAAAAAATTCACTCACTCAGGGCTGGAGAGCTGTGGCTTTAAGTCCTGATTCTGTTCATCACTGTTTTCATTTATTTATCTGTGAAATGGGAATACCCCAACTCAGAAAAAAAAAAGGAGATGGGACTTTCTGGTGCAAGCACTCAGGGGAAAAAAGATTCTCTGCTGATAAAAAGCATTCAGTCAAAAAAAAAAAAAAAAAGCATTGTCCTTGCTGCAGGAAATGGGGCGCCTCTATATAAAGATCTGTAAATCATAAATTCATTGCTAACACCTCAATATCTAAGCCCAAACAAAGTAGGGATTTATACCATTGCAGAGAGTTCTTAACAACGTCTCCTAGGAAGCCCAGGAGGGGAAAGTAACTTCAAAAAGAAGCTCTCACTCAAGGAGATGGCTACTTTATCATCATTTCAAACTAGTGGGTTATTATGATTTTAGCTGACTAGGAATCTAAGCCATCCAGGCTGAAAAACGGGGAACTATGGCAAGATTCATTATTTATCAAACCCGAAACATGGAATAAACATGTCATTAACAAAGATGTCATTAGTTTTCAAATTAAGCATCTCTTAAGTGTATATTTAAATTATAGAGCAGTAGGGGAAAAAATCAGATTATAGCTGGATATTTTTACAGTCACTATTCTCCTGAGCTGCTTTCGTATGAAAAGAGGTGATTTTGTTCCTATGTTGTGAGTCGTAAATGTGAAAATACTATTTGAAGCTCTGCCCTTGGATTTAAGTTTGTGGCACCAGCCAGCCAATAGCTACGAACCTGATTGGTATACAAAAACCCGACCAAGTCTTAACGTTCATTTGTAGTCCCAAAGATTCAGTGAAGCGTCTTCACTGTATTTGAGTGTCCTAACGTGACTGTACTGATCCATATCTCTGTTCCTGAAAACATACATCATAAGAAAAAATGTTGTTTCTTTCAGTGCAAAGTGGTACGCTGTGAATCTAAAAGATGAAGATAACTTAGGCCAATATATATGACAGAACATGAATAATGTCGAGCAAGTGAATTAACCAAATGACTTCCTATGTGTGCACTCAAATGGTTAAGTGTGTGGGATGATGGCAGAAGGTGAGGACCGGGCGAGCATCAGGGTTTCAAAACAATCCTCGAAGTCAAGGTGGATTTGTGGAGGCACTAGGATTAAGGCAGAGAAAGGTATAGAGAACCCATAGAAATAATAAAGCCCAGGATACAGGTGATGTTTCAATCAGCAGGAGGTGGTCAGTGAAAACGCGAGGGAGCAGGCAATTTTTATTGAAGCCAACCTGGCGAATCGTCCTGACACCTTCGAGGCCTAGAGAAGGCATTCGGTGCGGGGGATGGAGACAGAAGTGGCCTGTCCACTGTCTCACTGCCCACCGGTTTGTGGCCTGTCCACTGTCTCACTGCCCACCGGTTTGGACGCAGCAGGCCTGCCAGTCAGCCCTTTCCTTTAACTTCATGGCTACCGTGCCCTTGTGACTCAGTAGATGCTCGGAGCCATTTGAGGTTCTACATCTGTGTTTTCCAGT